CGGTTTGCCATTTGTCTTTTGTTCAGTTGATGTGGCACCCATTTTTCTTCCTTTAAAATCTTTCCCATTGCTTGTAAATGATCGGAAATTGTTTGCTGAGCAACGTTTAATCTTTCTGCAAGTTGTTATTTAGTTTGACATGCATCTTCATCCAATAATGCTTGTTAATAGTTGGTCTTCAAACTTTTTCAGTTGACCTGGACGTTCTTTGTCTTTCTTATCGAAATCATCACTTTTAAAGCATTTAAACCAGCGTTCACAAGTATCTTGAGATGGAGCATGTTCACCATAAGCTTCCTGAAGTATATGGTAACTTTCAGCAGCATTTTTCTTCAACATAAAGTAATGAATTAAAACTTCCCGCAAATGCTCTTTTTTTGGCACAAAATTCAACATTTTTATATGTAAAAATATCTATGATGTTAACACCTTCAGAAAATTTGACATATGAAGTTTTGAAGCTTGCTGTCAATATAACAAAATAGCATACATATCAAATCACATATATATCAACATATGTGCAATTCCATCTATTGGAAAAAGTCCACATTATTAACCGGTACACCTGGTAAAACATGAATATAAAGCATAAAATATAAATATAGCCTCCCTTGCTATTAAAAAATCAGAAAAATTACACATGCATTCAGATGTAGACTGCTAACTGACACATAAAACAGGAAGGATATAACTTTTAAAAATAAATAATAAATACTACTCATGTGAGTAAACCATTAAAAATTTTTGAGAAAAAAAAATGTCAAGGAGAAATCCCCTGTAGTTCATAAGGATCCACATCAATGCTGAAATCAGGAATGCAATCAATTTATTATTTGTCAAATTAAATACTATATATAACTAATTATTAGCAGAAAAATATCTTAAAAAAGTAAAATAAATGATTTTTAATCAACAAACCATATATATCAATGGAAAGAAATTTAACATTAAGTCTTCTTTCCTAGATTGTTTGTATGTCAGCTGATTTTCTTTCTAAGTCATGAAATAGATGCACATGAGCAAGATAAGGGTCCCTTAAGAGGAACATACAGTATTTAGGTACTTGTACTGACCGGCTCAGAATCACAGCAATAATCATCCCAGCTCTGTCTGAGGGGTTTCTTTGTTATCTGAAAGTAAGGCAGATTAGTTATAGAAATAATAGTTATTACACTTTTCTAATAATCTCATAGTGTTCAGATGTCACTGATGCTATCCAAAAAAAGTTATTTTGTATAACAGCATAAAACAAGAAAGAACCAGGTAAACATTCCAATTCTGAGGGATCATATATTATTATAACCACTAGAGGCCCGGTGCACTGGAATTTTCGTGCACTGGGAGGGGGAGTGTCCCTCAGCCTGGCCTGACCCCTTCACAGTCCAGGAGCCCTCAGGGGATATCGTACTGATGGCTTAGGCCCGCTCCCCACAGTTTGGCCTCCCTCTGCAGGAGGTGACCAGGCTGATCAGGGGAAGGCACCACTCCCATCAACTCGCCGCTGCTGCTGCCTCTGGCCTCCCTCTGCGGGAGGCAACCAGGCCGATCAGGGGAAGGCGCCGCCCCCATCACCCTGCTGCTGCTGCCACTGCCAGCCCCCGCAGCCACTGCGGCTTTGTCCGGAAGGACATACGGAAGACATCCAGTCTATCCAGTCTAATTAGCATATTACTCTTTTATTAGTATAGATACCTACTATTGTCCAGTGACTCTGAGATTTTTATTAACTGCTGAGTCTCATATTTATGAATACTGACCTAATGACAAGAATACATATGGCATGGCCACCGATTACAAAAAATCTGGAAGAACAGTAACTCTAAATTTCTCTAATATTAACAACTATCAGCTCATTTGTGGGCAATCACTACTTTTTAAAAAGAAATATATTTAATTACCCAAATATAATATAAATCGTTTAAACAGGGGAGGGGGTAAAATCAGAAGCCCCATCAATGTTTTTTTGTAAAAAATACTACTTAAGTCTATATATGACAAGTGCCTAGTATTATATCAGGAAGTGATATTTTTAATAATTTCATAGTTCTCAATATATCAATTCGAAGTTATTTCAATGTCGCTTTAAAATTAAGAAATACCCGTTATACAGCAGGCTTTTTCTTCAGAAAAGTCTAAGATGTTTCTTTCACAACCCTAAATACATACTACAATCTTTCAGCCATTATCAAAGTGTCAATTTGCTTACAAAAACTTCATAAGGATTTTTTAATTACCATAAAGGAATGTCTTTCCATAGATATTTTTGCCTCAAAAAATTAAAATAATAAGAAGAGGACATTGATGTACTATCATACCAATTCTATTGATGTTGGTCCTAGAATTTTTGCTAATATGAGAAATAATAAACTTAGTGAAATCAATGTAATGAAAAGTTGTGATAATTAGTATTTATTATGGAAGTTTGGGAGTATGATGTGAGTTTCAAGGAAGATAGAAATTTTCTAAGTCACTCCTTTGATAGATTTCATATTGAGTGTTTAACAGGATCATTCACTAAATTATAAAAATAATACCTTAAGTCAGTATTACAGTATCATGCAGAGAGGGGTATGTATTAGACCTCAAAACATGCAAATGAAATCCCTTGCAAAGGTCAAGCATTAAGCATTGGTATCATTTAACAATATATACTAATATATATATATTTTATTGACTTGAGAGAGAAGAAAGAAAAGAAAGAAACCTCGATTTGTTGATCCACTTATTTTTTAATTCCTTGGTTGCTTCTAGTTTGCACCCTGACCAAAGATCGAACTGGAACCGGAAGCTTGGCATATGGGGATGATGCTCTAAACAACTAATCAACCTGGGCAGGGAAGCATTAGTATCATTTAACATGGGTGGTCTGTAAAAGGTAAATTACTTTTGAGACAATAAACCATTTTTCTAACATGGAGATACCTATAAATAGCTTATTTTTCTTAAAGAGTCTCAAAAAATGCAAAAGGCACACATATAACTAATCTTTTAAAACTCATGAGAGTAATAATTTTTAAATTTGAGAACTACATCACACAAATTTTTAGATTGCATGTTTGGAAATACTAGTTAATATCTATTACCAGATTTGGAAAACAAAGTACTAAAAAGAAAAGAAAAGAAAAGAAAAGAAAAGAAAAGAAAAGAAAAGAAAAGAAAAGAAAAGAAAAGAAAAGAAAAGAAAAGAAAAGAAAAGAAAAGAAAAGAAAAGAAAAGAAAAGAAAAGAAAAGAAAAGAAAAGAAAAGAAAAGAAAAGAAAAGAAAAGAAAAGAAAAGAAAAGAAAAGAAAAGAAAAGAAAAGAAAAGAAAAGAAAAGAAAAGAAAAGAAAAGAAAAGAAAAGAAAAGAAAAGAAAAGAAAAGAAAAGAAAAGAAAAGAAAAGAAAAGAAAAGAAAAGAAAAGAAAAGAAAAGAAAAGAAAAGAAAAGAAAAGAAAAGAAAAGAAAAGAAAAGAAAAGAAAAGAAAAGAAAAGAAAAGAAAAGAAAAGAAAAGAAAAGAAAAGAAAAGAAAAGAAAAGAAAAGAAAAGAAAAGAAAAGAAAAGAAAAGAAAAGAAAAGAAAAGAAAAGAAAAGAAAAGAAAAGAAAAGAAAAGAAAAGAAAAGAAAAGAAAAGAAAAGAAAAGAAAAGAAAAGAAAAGAAAAGAAAAGAAAAGAAAAGAAAAGAAAAGAAAAGAAAAGAAAAGAAAAGAAAAGAAAAGAAAAGAAAAGAAAAGAAAAGAAAAGAAAAGAAAAGAAAAGAAAACTGTTACTAAGAGCTAAAATTTAATAATGCCCTACATTTGAAAATGCTTTTCATTAATGCTTACCTGATTAAGATAATGATATTCTTCTGGTTGTTTAAGATGGAATGCTAATCTCTCTTCTTCACTTGCTCCTGCCAGGAGGTAATAGAATACATGATAGTTCCTGTTGAAAACAAAGAAGCATGGTTTTATAATGAATATGATCTATGGTTATCATTTAATTGGGAAAAAAGCAAACATTAATTACTAAAATGTTTCAGCTTTGCTTGATTTTTAATACAAAGGTGATAAGCTCAATATTTAAGTACTATAAAATAAAATAATGTTTTGGATGTTGAATTCAAAGCAGAGGGGTGAAGGCAAGAACATGGCAAAGTTATAACCTCTGAAAATTCTCTCCTTCATAAACCAATTAGAATACTTAGCAAATTTGTCAAAAATCAACTTTTTAGAACTCTGGAAATTAACAGGTTTACAGCAATCCAGGAAGTGTTTATATAAGAGAAACGGCTGAATCTCAGTAAAACCAGTAAGCTTTGTGGCCTTTTAACTTGTCCTATTCAACCTGCTGCTTGCCAGATCTATGGTAGTCTTCAAAACCAACAGTTTACAATCCTGGTCAACACCGAAGCCTGACAGTCTCCAAAGGAGAGCCTGGTTCCATAAGAAATATCATTATCATAACTGTCTGGAAGAACCCATATTCAAAATTGTCCTTATTTGACCTGACCCAAAGTAAACCAAGTGTGAAAATCTTTTCCCCAGGGGCATTTTTAGAAAAGAATTATAGGTACATTTTTAATATGTTATTGTCTGAAGCAGTGGATTAAATGTTGACGCAAAAAATAGACTAACCAAAAACTTAAAGGAAAACTCTGTGAATCTCCACCCAGTCTTGAAAAGCTCCAATATATTGCTGAGAATCTAGATGACCATGCACATACATAAAGCTGTGCACATGTCCAGGGCTACATGCCAGCTCTGCAAATACCAGAAGAGGTACTAAGCTCTCACTTCTGGTTAATCTTAATGGTCTGCACAAGCAGAAAGTAAAGGTGAAGGCAGAATTATAAAATGCCTATCTGATTGTGAAAGGCATGTCAAACTTACTATTTCCAAGCATTTAAGGAAATCTTTTTAATCATTAGGTAACCAAGCAGATTTACTTCAATGTCCATACTTGAAAAAGAATACAGACCTCACGAAGTTAGCTCAGAAAAGTCAAGAAACAAACAGCAGGAACAAAAACAACAACCACAAATCCTGGGATGGGGAGAGTTTCATATCCAGAACTGCCACATGATTATTTCAAATGTCAAAATTTCAACAACAAAAAAAATATGAGGGCATGCAAAGAAACAAAAAGGCATAGCACATACAAAAAACATACATATATATCAATAGTAACTGTCCCTGAGGAAGCTCAGGCATTACTTATTAGACAACAGTTTTAAATATGTCCAAAAAACTAAAGGAAACTATGTTTAAAAGAACTAAAGGAAAATATGAGAATAATATCTCATCAAATGGACTATCAATAAATACACAGAATTTACCATAAATGTCAAAAAGGAATTTTAAAGTTGAAAAACATAGTTTAATTATAAAAATTTAAATTTAAAAAAAAAACTAGAGGTCAATATCAGATCTGAACAGACAAGAAGAATGAATCAGTGAACTTGAAAACAGGTCAACTGAGAACAGTCTAAGAAACAAAAAGAGAAATGAAGAAAACTGAACAGAGTCTCAGAGTTCTGTGGGACACCATTACACAGACAACAACACTAGCATAATGTAGAGTACCAAGATATGGACAATGCAAGTTCAAAATAAAAAGAGAAAACAGTGCAGAAAGAATATTTTAAAAAATAATGACAAAGAACTCCCCAAATGTGGTGAATAATATTCTGTTCATCAAAGAAACTCAAAAAATTCCAGGTGGTAGAAGGGGAATCGAGATCCAAACCTAGACAAATCAAGACTGTTGAAAGAGAAAGACAAAATTTTCTTTTTTGTAATATTTCAACTCCAGTTGATGTTCAATATTGCTTTATATTAATTTCAGGTATACAGCATAGTGATTAGACATTTATATAATTTATAGTGATCCCCCTAATAAGTCTAGTACCCACCGACCACCATACATAGCTATTACAATATTATTAACCATATTCCCTATGCCATACTTGACATACCCGTGATTATATTATAACTACCAATTTGTACTTCTTAATTCCTTCACCTGTTTCACCCAGCCACCAATCCCATTTCCATCTGGCAACCATCATTTTGTTCTCTGTATCTATGAGTCTGTTTCTGTTTTGTGTGTTCATTTCGTTCTTTAGATTCCACATATAAGTGAAATCACATGGTATTTGTCTTTCTCACTGACTTATTTCACTAAGCATAATACCTTCTAGGTCCATCCATGTGGTCAAGCACAAAAGGTAAGATTTCATTCTTTTTATGACTGAGTAATAATATTCCATTGTATATATGTACCACCTCTTATTTATCTACTCGTCTACTGATGGACACTTAGGTTGCTTCCATATCTTGGTTATTGTAAATAATGCTACAATGAACATGGGAGTGCATATATCTTTTCAAATTAGTGTTTTGGATTTCATCAGATAAATACCCAAAAGTGGAATTGCTGGGTCATATGTTGAGTCTATTCTTAATTTTTTGAGGAACCTCCATACTGCTTTCATTATGGCTGCACCAATTTGCAATCCTACTAACAATGCTTGAGGGTACCCTTTTCTCCACATCTTTGCCAACTCCTGTTCTTTGTTGCTTTGTTGATAAAAGCTATTCTGATAGGTGTGAGGTAATACATCATCGTGATTATAATGTGCATTGCTCTGATGATTAGTGATGTTGAGCATCTTTTCATATGTTTATTGGCCATCTGTATGTCTTATTTTTAAAAATGTCTATTCAAAAAAAAAGATAAAAAATGTCCATTTAGGTCCTCTGCCCATTTTTCACTGGACTGTATTTTTTGGTGTTCAGTTGCATGAGATCCTTATATATTTTGGACATTCAGATGTATCATTGGTGAATATAATCTCCCATTCAGTAGGCTGTATTTTCATTTTGTTCATGATTTCCTTCGATGTGCAAAAACTCTTTAGTCTGATGTGGCCCCATTAGTTTATTTTCTCTTGTTTCCCTTGCCCAAGAAGACACATCTCAAAAAAATATATTACCAAGAGAGATGTCAAAAAGTGTACTGCCTATGTTTTCTTCTAGGAGTTCTATGATTTCAAGTCTTACATTTAAGTCTCTAATTCATTTTAAGTTTGGGGTATGTTGTACGGTGATTCAGTTTCATTCTTTTGCATGTACCTGTCCAGTTTTCCCAATACAATTTATCTAATGGACTGTGTTTACACAATCGTATGTTCTTGCCTCCTTTGTCATATATTTATTAACCACATAAGCATGGGTTTATTTCTGGTCTCTTTATTCTGTCCCATCGATCTTCATGTCCATTTTTACACCAGTACCATACCATTTTAATTACATCAACTTGTAGTATAGTTTGACATCAGGTAGCATGACACTTCCAATTTTGTTCTTTCTCAGATTGCTGTGGCTGTCTAGGGACTTCGGTGGTACCACTTAAATTTCAGGATTATGAAAAGAATTGGCACAGCGACCACGCCATCTTGGGAAACAGAGCTGCTTGAGACTAGGATCCTGGCCTCAGCACCACCCAGTCTGATCTCAGACGCATACCAGGACCCTGCAGCCACTGGGGACAGAGACCTGCGACCACAGCTACAGACCTGCGGACACCAAAAGTTCGGAGATCCCCGAGGCAGATCCGTGAGTCCATTGGTTATGCTTATATGGATGCATACAAGTCCTTCGGTTGATCTCTTACCCCCTTCCCTCCTGCCCCCCAACCCTCCCCGGCCTTCCCGCTGCAGTTTGTCAATCTGTTTGAGGCAGCTCTGCCTCTGTATCTATTATTGTTCAAAAGTTTATAATGGTCTCTATTATCCATGAATGTGTGAGATCATGTGGTATTTTTCCTTCATTGACTGGCTTATTTCACTTAGCATAATGCTCTCCAGCTCCATCCATGCCGTTGCAAATTGTAAGAGTTCCTTCTTTTTTACAGCAGCATAGTATTCCATTGTGTAGATGTACCACAGTTTTCTAATCCATTCATCTACTGATGGGCACTTAGGCTGTTTCCAGATCTTAGCTATGGTGAATTGTGCTGCTATGAACATATGGGTGCATATATCCTTTCTGATTGGTGTTTCTGGTTTCTTGGGATATATTCCTAGAAGTGGGATCACAGGGTCAAATGGGAGTTCCATGTTTTGTTTTTTGAGGAAACTCCATACTGTCTTCCATAGTGGCTGCACCAGTCTGCATTCCCACCAGCAGTGCACGAGTGTTCCTTTTTCTCCACATCTTTTGATAGGAATTTAATAAAATCTATAAAATTCTTTGGGTAATATGGACATTTTAACAATGTTCATTCTTCCTAACAATTCGCACAATATGCTTCCATTTATCTATAATACTGTCAACTTCTTTCTTCAACATCTTATAATTTTCAGAGTACACGTTTTTTACCACCTTGGTTAAATTTTTTCGTGTTTTTTGATGCAATTATAAATGAAATTGTTTTCTTAATTTCTCTTTCTGAGAGTTCATTATGGATATATACACATACACCCAAATTCTGAATATTAATTATTTTATCCTACTACATTACACTAAATTCATTTATCACTTCTAATTGTTTATTGATGGGTCCTCTATGTATTATAGTATCATGTCATCTGCAAAAAGTGATAGTTTTACATCTTCCTTTCCAGTTTAAATGCATTTTATTTTATTTTTATTATCTGACTGCTATGACTAGGACTTCCAGTATTATGTTGAATAAAAGTGGTGAAAGTGGCCGGGCCAGCATGGCTCAATGGTTGAGCATTGACTTATGAACCAGTAGGTCACAGTTCCATTCCCGGTTAGGGCACATGCCCAGGTTGTGGGCTCAATCCCGTATGGGGCGTGCAAGAGGCAGCCGATTAATGACTCCTCTCTCATCATTGATGTTTCTATTTCTCCCTCTCCTTTCCTAT